TTTTTTTTTTTTTTTTGTGTTGGGATGTACATTGGATGTGGGAGAGGTAGATTTTACTTTATAGTTTATATGACAATCTTAAAAGTGTTAATAGATAACCTAGCACTACTTTATAATTGTCAATGTGAAGTTTCTAGGTTTTGTTGGCCGAGGCACGCCCTATGGGAACTTGACGTGATGCAAGAGGTGCCCGCCTCACCAGCCTGTAGCACCCCTAGGTTGTAGTAGGGTGATTTGCAATGGACACTGCCTGGAAGAAATTAAATGAGCTCTTTTATCTTTTCTCAACTCAACAAACAATGATATAAAGTTGTGGAAGTTAATTAGATAATGCATCTCAGTATTTGGCACCAATCCAATTTGTTTCCGTTCCAAAAAGGTTCTATTTCAGACTCTTAAAAATTAACAGGGTAGTTCTGTATGTCAGTTCTAGTCATATTTTCATACCTGTGGAGGATGACAGGTATGTATTCAATCTTGTTTAAATTGCAAATTTCACAGCACTTCCAAGTTTAGAAGCCTTCTTCATTTCTTGATTGTAGATCAGTGAAACATGGGGATTTTACTTGATAATTGGCTTTCTTGCTTTTGTCAGTTTTAAGGTACTTACATACAATGCTTTAATATGGTTCTCCTCTGAGAGATACTTTTCATCGAACCATAAAAGTATTTTATTGCTATTTTTTGTTTCTTCCCTTTCTTAATAAAAGCAACTTATTAAAGAAAAAAGGGAGGGTCCGAAACTCTGTTGGGCGTTCCTCTAAATAATAAAATATTCTATTATTTCTTCCAATCCAGGTTAGATTAATGCACTACTTGAATTGATCCAAAAAACTTAGCATATATTGCTAATGGTTTCCTGGATTTGACGAGATCAGATTGATCATGGTTCTGGCATCATCCAAGATATACCCACTTCATAAAACGTAGAAAGAAACCTGTGTTGAATAGCATGTAGCATGCATCTTTTGCTTAATCTCTTGTGTCATCTCATACCTGCCTTGCTTCTGTTTTTTCCCCCCTGTGCCACATTGGTATATACTATTGCTAAGGTAAGTTCCAATATGATTGCTGGCCTGATCTAGTTATATTGCACTAACAGAAAAAAAAAAATGTTCGTTGGAATAACATTTCAATTTCTTTGCTATTTCCAGCTGAAACTGTAATATACAGAATATTTTACTACGTGAATAGATCTGGTAATGGTCGTCTTACCCTCAGGGAGCTGAAACATTCGAACTTAATTGCTGCAATGCAGCATGCTGATGAGGAAGAGGATATTAACAAAGTTTTGAGGTAATTACTGAAACCTCTTATTTTTTTAACTGCCTTGCTAAAGCTTCCATTTTAGGAGATAAAATTTCTAATTGGATTTGAAATGTGGTTTAGTTCAAATCCAATTTGGAATTCCAATTCCCTTTCCAAAGCAGGTTTGTTGACTTTCTAATCCGCTTGCAGTATAAATATAAATATCCAATTAGATGACTAATGTATTTGATTATCTGTGTATGTGTGTGCGTGTGGGTGTGTTAAGCAAGGAGAATTTTGAGTCAAGTTGATTCCCTGGTGATTTGAATTATTCAGTAATCGTATGCTTTGTAATACGAACGACTTCCTTTCAGCGGTATCAAATGGCGGCCATGGCGGTATGGCGTTGTGGATTCTTGCCAAACCGCCATGCTAAATTTAGTGAAGAATAGAAGTTATGGCGGCGCCATAGGCCGCCATCTGCCATTAATAACACAGCTTCCTTTTGGTTTTGTAGTATTGTTTCCCAACTTGTTTGGGACTAAAGGGCTATGTTGTTGTTGTTGTATCTACACACTTCGTCTGTTCCATTAGATTCTTGCTTGTAAGAAATGGGTAAAAGAATGCAAGTTTAACTGAATAAGGATTCTGGGATTTGTAAATATGGAATTCAAATCAAGAAATTTCCTGAATTTGAATTCTCTAATTGACTCAAGGAATTTGAATTCTCGAATTGACTCAAGTAATTCCAAGATCAGTTTTATTAAATACAAATCTAATTGATACAAGATACAATATCAAATTGCGGGCTTCTATATCTGTTTAATCAACAGGCTAATGGTCTGTGTTTGTTATAAATAGTACAGTAATGTGACTGAGTGCTTACATTCTTGGTTATATAGAAGTGAGTCTGGGGTATTCTAGATGCACTTTGGAATTGTTTAAATCTATGGCACATTCTTTTTCCTTTTTTTTTTTTCTTTTTGGCCCTTGCTTGCCTTCGATCTTCTACCACATTGCCATCTCTACCAGTCTTTATTTTCCATGTTATGACAGCATTTCCTTCTTACTGCAGGTACTTCTCTTATGAACACTTTTACGTGATATATTGTAAGTTCTGGGAGCTGGATACAGATCATGATTTTTTAATCGACAAAGAGAATCTCATCAGATATGGCAACCATGCACTTACCTACAGGATTGTTGATCGAATATTTTCTCAGGTTTGGATTATCTTTGTTCTTATTCAAGTTATTTTTCTTCTGTAATGAGACTAATCTCTGTTACTATATTGGAATTTGGCTAAGGTCCCCAGAAAATTCACCTGTAAGGTTGAGGGAAAGATGGGATATGAAGATTTCATTTATTTCATATTGGCAGAGGAAGATAAATCATCTGAGCCTAGTCTTGAATACTGGTTTGTGTTCTCTTTTATTGTCTTCATGTTTCTGCAATCTTAGGCTGTGTTTGTTAAAGGATTCACTCAAACCAAATAAATTCTACTCAAAATCTAACTCAAATTTAACTCAGCTCCACTATCGTCAATATTATCAACATGATTGAATAATAACAACCAATCATTAAATAATAACAACCAATCATTTTTACACATCAAATCAACTTTTTAATTCACTATTAATCCACTCACATAATTCTAACTAACCATCACATCATATCATCTCTCTCCTACTTTTACATCAAACCAATTTTAATTATTTTATTTTAATAAAAACTCAAAATTCCACTAACAACTACCTACACAACTTTTTCTAAATTAACCCTAGTTAACTCAAAAAAAGTTCACTTTGAGTTAATTCACTCAAATTAATCTTTAACAAACACACCCTTAATCTTCTATGTTGAGGTTTTTTGCTTTTCCCCCCTACACGAGTTACTCAACAGTTCCATCTCCGAATGCATGTAGACACTATATTTTGTGTTTAATCATTGAAATGCATAGTTTATTAGTGTGGGGAAACTGGATGAGTTGGTGACTATATTTGAAGAGTTTTTGTCTCAAGGGTAGGGCATGGATTTGTATCTGTATTCATAGTTGGCATGTTTTTAGGTTATCAGTAGGCCTTTCACAGGTAACTCCAAAAGTCTTCTGACTCTGTTACTACTTGTAATTAGTGAGTAGATAACCTATGGAAGAATTTATGGTTTTTTGGTAAGTCAGAGCACAATCCTGTTTAGTCACTTGTAGCGTATGAAATAATATGAAAAAGTAGATTCTCTATGCTGAACCACTGTTTCTCGTGGATTTTTAGAAATTTGGGTTTGAAATGGTTTTGTGTGTAGTTGTTGACAGGAAGCTAGAGTATAGTGCTTTTATTGTGCTTCTTTAAGTGTTTACTAGCTCATCATTCGTTTTTTTTTTTTTT